TCCGCCAATAAGCGCAGGACCCACCAAGATAGAGGAGGAACTTTGTCACAATATATATAATGCTGTTTTCGTGCAATTTAAATTGAGTTTGAATTTCCATCCTAATACAGCTTGACAGAAATCACAAGTAAAACATTAATCATCTAGTAAATAAGAAATGCATCATTACCCATTTCCTAGCATAATAAAAATGTAGAAATTAGGAATTTTAATAAATGTAAGTTAAGCTGTAAAATTGCTTAAATATAATATAGTATATCCTCCTGGTTAACAAAAAGAAGCACCAAATTTAGTGTATAGGTTATATTTAGTTGTAAATCATCATGTTTTAATGGTTACCAGCTAATGAGAATAAACTTTTTTCTTTAGGAAAATAAATAAAAAGCACAAATGCAAAACAATTAAAATTGAAGATTTCAGTCAAAGTTTTCTGCTTGCTGATTTAAATCATGATTAAAACTGGTGACTTAAATTGTTTGTTTAAAGCAATCCACCCTGCTGGCTTCTACTTTAACAATGGAGAGACTAACATCTCCTCGTAATGGCCATTCAGTTTGCACATAAAGAAGAAATAAAAAATTGAAAACTCTGCAACAATATGTTCTTTGCCAGATTAATTGTGAAATCCTAATAAGATCATCATAACTTTATGGCAGTTCACATCTTTCAGGAAAAAATTACTCCATATCAGCCATGAAGAAGACAATGTTTCCCATATGTAATATAACTTGGATGCACAGTGTTGTTTTCTTTACTTCTGTGGAAGACAATTAATGGGTCCCATTGGGGAAATCCAAGTACAATGTTCATTGATAATTTTTTGTGATTTGTGGAAGGGAAGGAGAATTGAAAGGTTATGAAATATGAACTTCTAAATGATGACTCCAGGGAGTGCGTGTGTAATTCTGAACTGCTACAAGGCACTTCAGTCCAGCACTGCCTTATCTGTAGGACCTTAAGTCAAGCATTTAGGAAGGGTACATATTCGTTTTAAAATAAAACATCTCAATTCATGTAATAGAGAAGTCCCTTTGCAGTGCGATCCCTGCCCGGGTTTGCAGCTAATAGTTTACAATTCTTTGAGCCTCATGGCAGCATATTCCCATTTATGGTACGTGCAATCTGGTGCCACTGAACTTCAGGAGCCTTCTCGGAAATGGGTCTATAGCTGTGCAAGTGACCCCTTGTAGCACTGAACGTTCAGGGCTGAGGTTACAAAGAGGCCATGTGGTCCCCAACTGCCTGACTTCTTTCCTTTCCAAGGTTAGCTGCCAGTGGAAAGACTGTCAGTCCTTGCCAGGAGAACTTTCCTGTCTTGTCACTGAACTATGTTGAGCCTCTGGCATAGCTTCAACTTCCCCATCTCCTTGTCTGTGCAAACCGGGCTTCTCCCGCTGAGAAGTTCATTGTGTGGGGGGTGGTCATTATGCACTATTGGTATTGTAGTGCCTAGGAACCCCAGCCGAGGATGGAGCCCCCTTGCCTAGGCACCACAATCCCAACCTCAGAGAGTTCTCCCTCTACATGTCAGACAGGATGCAAGAGGTGATGAAATAGACAAACAGGGTAGGGTGGGCTGGGAGGATGAAATAATCATAAAGTAAACAAAGTTTAGCAGGAGAGCAGTTTTAGATATGAAACCACCATTAGCCAGTAAATCGTGTGGTAAAACATCAGGGTAGCCAGGGCCGGCTCCAGCGTTTTTGCCGCCCCAAGCGGCGGGGGGGGGGGGGGGGG